GTTTACCGGTTTACCCTGTAAAAAAGATAACTAAAATTAAGACAAGATTTTGTTTCTTTTTTATATCAGGAATAATAATGCGAAAATAATGATTTTTAATGGAGTTTATGAAAGGATTGATCCTAATGTGTACATGACCCTATTAACTTGTCAATATCATTTAGAACTTTTGTATTTGAAGAATATAATACTGGTTTTACTAATAAGGTATTATCAAAGTAAATAAGTAACAAAAGGTAGGTAAGTAACGTAAGGTAGTAATGAGGCGCCTAACGACAATAATAATGTCTATTTTTGGAGAAAGTATTTGTGTATTGTGTACTGATAACAACTGCGTAAATACCCATCAATTCAATGTATCATAGTGATTAGCGTGAATCATTTTATTTTTCAACAAGTATCTACCTAGTTGAAATTATGAGGGAGACCAATTCATTGTTTGTTGGTGTATTTATTACTTACTAGCTGACTTGGCAAACTTTATACCGCCCAAAATTTTTTTCTCACCTTTTAACTCGTTGAGTACCGTCATTATAGACACAATTAGCTCGTCGAGTACCGTCATTATAGACACAATTATAGAACAATAGGTTGCGGTCACCGGTGTCCTCGCGGTGTTTGACAGTTAAAATATCTATGAACATTTCAAGACTTAAATTAGCCAAATTGGTACAGTCGTTTTCGAGTTTTAGCGAGACTAACGAACAGCATTCTTCATTTTTATATGTAAGATTTATTTATTATTATTATATTTAGTTAAGTACAAGTACCTATCCAAAATCGGCAGAATGGACTGTTTGATTGATTTAATGGCTAAATATTCTAAGGAGTATTTTATTCAAAATAGGTACTTTTTAACCGACTTCAAGAAAAGAAGGAGGTTCTCAGTGTAATCTGTTGTATGTATGTATCAAACTCAAACTCAAACTCAAAAGCATTTATTTCAATTAGACCATAATTTGGTACTTTTGAAACGTCAACAAATGGTATGGTATGTTTGTGCACGATTATCTCGCGATTGGTTGAACCAATTTCGATGCGTTTTTCAGAAAAGATAATTAACGAAGATTAATAACCGATCGAATGGCACGAGACTGCACGGTTGGTGCGGTGGCTGGGCAGCTGGCCGCCGTGCAACGTGTCGCGGGTTCGATTCCCGCACGAGACAACACTTTGTGTGTCACTTTGTCCACAAATGACTTTTCGGTTCTGGGTGTCATTGGGTATGTGAACTTGTATGTTTGTTAACGCATCCACGATACAGGAGAAAATCCTAGTGTGTGGCAACGTTTAAAAAACAAAAAATAAAATCACAATAGGGGCAGGGTGAAAGATTTTTTAAAAGGTGTTTATGAATGAATTAGTATAATGCTTGAATTTGATGGAAGCTGAAAAGTACGCAAGGACCGTAGTAGATGTCATGATCCTTTGTAGTCTACAACTGCCCACATGAGACAAAAGAGTGAGTTTATGAATGAAGAATGTTCATGCCTGTCTTTATATTTGTGCCCTATATCTGTGTTACAAAACTGATATCATTTTCAAATAATTTATATCTTAAAGAGAATAATTAATTAATTAATTAATTAAAGTGAGTTACCTAAAATTTTAGTAAGTATAATTTATTAAACAGATGTATAATTTACACTAAATTTATACGAACCTTCATATCGTGGTAAAAGCTCTTTTGATAGGTTTTAAACTGAAATATTACGGTTAACATGTCTATTTAATTTGTAAATATGCTTAAATAAGTTGTTTTGGACTATTATGTCTTATAACCGTTATTTTATTTTATTGAAATACAGTAAATCTATATCTGTAGGGTGCTGGGAAGAGTAAAGTACACACACTACATAACACCTTGCCTTTTATCCCCGAAGGGGTAGACAGAGATGCACATTACTGCATCTAATGCCACTGTACAATGTAACACCCACTTTTCACTATTTATGTTATGAATCCCATGTAATAGGGGGTGAGCCTTTGCTATATACCGGGCACATTTCCAGACCTCGTGCTACCGCTGAGATTTTTTTTTAAAATCCAGTCATACTTTGCCTTACCCGGGAATCGAACCCGAGACCCCTTGCACAGTAATGCACTTGCGACCACTCTGCCAATGAGGCAGTCAAAGCAAAGGTGTTGCAAAGAGGTAAGCGTAATTAGATAAAGGTTATATTAGGGACATTTTTTGATTTGATTTTATAAGTAAGATAAAAAAAAAATCAGTTTGATGGAAATTCTAAAATCAAGAAAACGCGATGAATAATACTTAATAACCTGTGTGTTGTTTTTAAATTGGAATCAAATAACTCTTTTGATAATAATATAGATACTTAACTACCATTTTTTGATTACCATTTCTAATCTATTTTGTGCCAATTTTAAGTAAAAGTGCGAAGAAAGAGTGACATACCATACATAATATTTATATATGTATTACAATTACATATATAATTCTCAATACACCAATAGGTACTTACTTATCAGTATACATACCAACATTATACTTACCTACCTACATTATGTATATTTTTACACAAAAATATTATTCACGCATACTGATATGCGATGTAAATGTTTCAGTTAGAAGCTATGTATGAACATTGTACATATTATAAGTTATATTTATGTAGTTCGCGGACAAATTCATAACGGCACTTGCGCTCGGTATACTTATCACTAGACTTCAGACGCAGTTCGGTTTCATATAAGCGTTTATAGCTAGATGAACTCAAAATGCACTTGTGTCTATAAGTTCCGTCTGTATAAATTTTACGTATCTATTTGCTTCCAAATAACCGTGTGTGATAGGAGTCAATGGTTTTGGACTAATGTTGATTTTTGGTGATTAGCCATTGATTAATACCACAGATAGGACCCAATAGAGCTGATGCCGACACGGAGTCGCGTAGGGCTTAACGGGTTGCCGGGCCTCCGATTTGAAGTGTAGGAGTAGGAACGGGGTGGTTTTTACTCAGTAAGAATCTGACACTCCCTCTCGCCTCACCCGGGCGGGAGAAGACGTTGAATGATTTTCCCCCATCCCTATTGTCTGACTTCAGCCTTTTCGCCTTGCGTAAGCCAGAATAAACAGTAGAGTTTTATGAAACAAAAAAAAAGGATTCACATTTCACTTATTGAGCAGAAATAGCGAGTACCTAACGTGGTAGTTATTTCATTAACATAAAAAAATATATAATTTCTTTTGAATGTTGTCTTAAACAAATACAAACTAGACCTATTAGATAATAACCGTTAACAATAGAGGTAATTGTAGATTAATGATATAATAATTACTTTGGTAATTGAGTGTAAAAGAAATTGAATACTTTCGTAAACGAAGTCAGTGCAATGCCGTGTTTTATACTTGAACACCGTTCGCGGTTTTTACCTGGAGGGGGATGTAGAAGAGTGTAAGAAAGAATAGTTGCATTTTTCTTTGCTAGTTAAGATTAAAATTAGTAATATTGAAATTTAAGTCTTGCAACAATAGTCTGGGTGCAAATCCGGTTACTACCTGACTTAAACGTAATAGTATTTGTTGCCAGTATTTTGTTCAATGACTTGAGTTGACCATTGTCTAATTTTTTTACCCACTTTAAAGAATATCTCGTGCAGAATGGACTGGTAACTTCTTAACCAATGTTTTGGTTCATTTTGCTTAAAATTGTCGTGTCTAACAACAAACTTGCTTTTTGCTGTCTGTCCCTATGCTACGCTTAGGTCTTTAAAACTACGCAACCAATTATGATACTGTTTCCTTTCTATACTAGACGAAGTTTTTTTTTGTGGAATAAGCCGGTAAACGAGCAGAGGATCACCTGATGATAACCAATCGGCGTTGCCCATTGACACCCGGAACAAGTGCGTTACCGGCCTTTTAGGGTTTAAGAATGTGAGGATTGTTAGGGATTCAGCGATTGGGGAGATTAGGAAGGGGGGGGGGGCAATTGGGCCTCCCGTAATCCCGTAACCTCACTCACACGACGAAACACAACACAAGCGTTGTTTCGGGAGTGCAGCTTCGGGAATCGTATCTAAGGTAAAAAAAAAGTGTCTTATTGTAGGCATACAAAGAATTTAATAATTATTAAGGTGCTTAATGTTAGGAAAGGGACAACATAATAACAGTCGAATAGTTAGAACATTCGCAAGTGGCACATAACGCGGTGTAGCAAGCAGGCGTATCGACTGCGAGTTACATGCATTTAGGGTTACCATGGTTGCCATTGCATCGGAGACCTAACAGAGGTCAATGAATACAGATATGGATTGCCTAAAATTAATACATAATTGAATATTTACCTACTTGTTTAGTTTTTGATCTAGTCCTAGTCTTTCTTTTTCTTTGGTCCTCCTTGAAATGAACAGTTATCCAAATATTATTAACCCCTGTTTTTCCATATTGAAAATAATCTTAATGTGCTGTTGTTTTTCTTGAGGACGATTTCATCAAGTTCTAGAATTGTTTTTTGAAGTCATTCTACTGCATCTGTTTGCTTCAATACAGATCTAAACAATTCGTATCGTAATGATGTACGACTTAGGTGCTGACATGTAGGTACTTAAGTATGACAAATTTTCTTGATGTGGTAACCCTACATATGCCTCGGCGCAAACCTGTTTCGCACTTCGGGAAATATGTCGCCGATCACGCGTGCCCGCAGCACTCGGCTTGTTCGCTCTTCGTTACACTAATATGCATTTTTTCGCAATTTTTTATATCTATGAATATATAGCTCGATTTTATTTCTACAAATATTTTATTAAATGTATGACTGTTTAAGTTTAAAAGTTGAATGATGGGTTGGGTAAACAAACTACATTTAGTTCCATATTTGCAGCAAAATTTTCCGTACCGGGAAAATGTGAAAGCGTCATCTGTTTTATTTTCCTAAACTGTATCGTATCGGAGTCATGACCCCGCTCCCTCTCTTCATTTGCGCCGCTCAGTGTCGAGTTAGACATAATGCGTCTATATTTATTATTTACAGGCAAGCGATGATTTCCATTCTTCGTGCTCGATGTCGCGGCTACGAGACGAGAAAGCCACACAACATGAAAATATCACATTCTTCACTCTATACATGCGTACGTCTTACAATTTATTTATATTTTATATTCTGTAGTTTTGACCTATGCTACTGATCATATGGTTTTTTATGTTGCTTCTTAAGTATTTTTCTTACAAAAGTAACAATATATTATGTGTCTCTTAGAATTTGCCCTTGACGTACCTGCTTATGTCAACGTCGTAAACATCGGTTTATTAATTGTCTTGTTATGTACGTCAATTGTGTTTATTGTACCTACAGCGACTACACATGTGACACGTACTGGACACAAAATGACTTCAACTTAAGACAAAGCTCTGACGAAACGAATTCAGACGCCATTGTAATTTTAATTAAGCACTACAATAATTAACAAGAGCAAAGGTAATGAAACAATGATGCGCGTGAGATGGAGTGTTTTACGAAAATAAAGGCAACAGAACGGGCACAATGACTCAGATGGAATTCAGCTTTGCCCGCCATACTGAGCTTCGTCGGAATCAGAAATACAATCCTAATTATAATCGCACGCATCCGTCCAGCACCTCAATCGGTCGCTAACGTTCCGACTAAACCGCACCGTGCTCCTGGACGCACTCATCTCTGTGGATTGTGTGCAATGAACGTTTAATAATTATTTTCGTAATACACGTCACGTAAAGTTCAAGCGTCGCGCGTCGGCAACACTCGCAGTGAGGGAGTCGCGCCGCGCCGCGCCGCACTCGCTTTAATAAGCTCACAGAATAAACACGCTATTGATATCTTGTTAATTCTTATTATAGCACCACAATATTGTTCACTTACCACATTACTGGCGAGTACAACGTTATTAGCGACTTGCCATCTGCGATTGTGATGTTTAAGCGCTACGCAATTTCTTCAGACCTTAACCTATTTATTTAAATCTGACAAGGTTATATCAAAATTTATGTCGTTCAAATCGACGAATTTAACGCATGATTCGCCAATTTTTAAAAGTGATTTCACATTATCCAATCGAATGTTATTCTTTTAGAATAGACACGTACGTCATGTGTATACATCATCCGCTGTTTACTGTGATAGTTTATTGCATCGAATATTTGTACGTTCGTTTAAACGATACATTTTATAAATACGGTGCGATGCGAGTATTAGTCGACGGAGTGGTTCATAATAACGTATGTGTACATAGGAGCAACATTGCCGCATTGCGGTGAGCCGCCCATATGTCGACATATCACTTCTGCCCTTTACTGGAGTGTGCCATACTCAAATACCTTTTAGATCGGCCCGCGCGAGATTGCTAACTTTTTCTTTAGTCATAATCTACATGACCATATCTGATTTGTACGTATATTTACGAATTATTTTGATTGACTCGTAATTAGGTCATGTTTCGCAAACTGAATAAAGTTTTAACAAATAAATAAAATGTCATATCAGAAAATATTTTAAACTAATTTCATCTCGTACTTTTGGCGAATAATAATATATTTTATAACAATGGTTTATATTAAAATCAAAATAACAAAGTCACATGGTCTCATTATCAGTATCAGCAGAAGCACAGAAGTTGTTATCGAGTGCTCGTTTCCGGGTCAGGTAATTTTGTTCCACACAATGATTTTGATCACTTTGGTGTTAACCGAATAATAAACCGCGTTAAGGAATAATAAAATGTGTACAAAGTTTTAGTTGTTTTTAGTTTCACGCCTCAGACGCCATGTATCGGGTTTGTAATACATTAGTCGGGCGTTGATTTACACAGCTACATATCGTGGGCGCGTCTATTCATAGTACTAATGTACTATATTTAGTAGCGATTCCCTATTATTTCTCGCGACTGACTCAGTATGTGAGTTGTTCCGCTTTCAAAAATGGCTTTTAAATTAATGTGCGTAATTATTGAATTTTCCTCATTGCGCATACCCCCGGTAATCGGGAATCTGTCTATACTTATTCGATTATCGAATTGGTAGTTAGACCATGAAAATTATGGAGAATTATGTGGTATAGGTTTGGTTATATAATCTCCATGATGATGTAAATAATTGAGCTTACTTGTATTTTTTATTATTACCAGTAATTATGTACCTAATGTATATTAAAATTCTTATGTATCTATTACTAGGTAACATTATTAACTTAGAGCTGACGCGTAAAGTAGTGGTTTCAAGGTCGGTGGGTCTATGTAAATAGCAAATAAGCGCATATGGAGAGGCGCCGATGCAGGTAGAGGCAGCAACGCGTCGGCTGCGTACGCGCACATCTGCCGGTGCGCGCGAGTGGCGCGACCAGGCGCGTGCCGGCCGCGCCTAGCACCCGTCCCGTCGTCACGTAAGCCACGAGCGACATACCGACACATATTCATTCCATATATTATTCCCATCTTAGCAGTTGTTACGATTAACCGCTATTTTCGACTACAGATGTAATTTGTGTAATTAGATTAGAGTATTGTAATCATCTTATTTTCCATTGACTTAAACTTTAAACAAATAATTGTTCTGTACCAGAAAACGTGTGTCGTGCTCTTGTCCACATTAAAGTGATAGATGACTTGCTTGCTTAGCGTCCTCCTCCAAAGTTGTGTGTAAACAACTAGTATATCGTAATTAATCATTAACAACTACGTATCATAATTAATCTATTTTCCGCCACTTATTATGATGATGGTGTCATTGGTATGTTTACTATTTTATCGTGAATTTATGATTTATTGCTTGTAATGACAAAAGATAAAAGCGATTGAAGCTTTCATAAGCGGTATGAAGTCGCCTTCGCTTATGACTCACGCCGCCCTCTGTGGGTTGGCAGCGCGGCTAATTATAATCTACTAAACATCATCGAGTGCTTGTAAGTTAGGGTCGCACCTCGTGTATGTATTTTTAAATACTTTTTTCTAGTCTGACTTCCTCTAAGTGTAAACTGATTTAGATAATTTAATGGAATTATAAATAAATCATTTAAATAAACGTACTTATTACGTGGCCTATGTTAGTAAGTATTGTTTGATTTGTTGGTATAATGGAAAGATCAGTTAGTAATAAATAATGGGGTATCAAAATGTGTGAATGTTGAAGGCATGTTTTAGCAGCCCTAAACCGGTGTACGGAGGCGGGCGGCGTGGCGCGGCGGGCGACGGCCGGTGCGTGCGACCCGATCACCACATCGCACCTTGTTGAAGACTGCACGATGCGTGGCGTGGCGTATTAGCAACGGCATTAGCATTATTTATATATTGATTTATACACCCTGGCGTTCCACATCAAGTTATGATTATGTTACGGCTGCTGTTTCAATCAGCGTGTGCTAAACTTTTACTAATTGCCCGACGTTGACAACGTGATAAAGATCTTGTTATTTAAATGCGTGAATATTAAACAAAGTCATGTGTCATAATAATTAATCTGCCTACTCGTGCTCTATTTAAAATTATCTTGGGCTGTTGCCAGCTATTCTAAATACCATACGTGGTCGCGTTCAAATTTGTCTATAACAATAACGAAGAAATTCACATGAAATAGAAAGGTAATCAAATTCGTGGCAAATTGCATGTATTCGAATGGCGCCGTCGTCGCTGAGACTCGCGAGTCCATTGTTCAGTCCGTAGCGTGAAAATCAAACTTCCGTACTGCTATTAAAGATATTACAAACATTTGTAAATATCTATTGTAGTCTGTGCGATTTTCAACAGATAGCTGGTGCCTACATTATTTGCTAGAGTGTTTTTATTTTTAGTGTTACATTTGCGATTGTTATTGATGTCGACAGGTATGCCACCTACACCTTTTCGCCAAAAATACTGAGCACGTGATGAATCTAAAGCACAATCGCTGCTTCTAATAAAAATGACGTCAAAGCTAAAGCACACACTAAAATAATTATGCCGGTTTGGTCAAATCGGCGCGGGCGCACAGCGCGACGTTGGACGGTACAGATTATCCAGCGCCGAATGAGCGCAATTTTTTAATCTGTCGCGCGTTTCCTTGTAAATCTTAATTCGTATGTTCCGTTACAGTAATTCCAGTGTGAGGGCATGGACGCGCATTTTTTTCTCTGGAAACGTATCACCTTGTCGTCGGGTAGCCGGTTACTTACCTACAATTAAAAAGCGAAAAGAGCGCGGATTCCGAGGCGAATTTCGAGAAATATCGACGGGGTCAACGAACCATGTCGACGCATCGTGGCCGCGTCTCCTCACTTGATTTTTTTACATTTTGGAATTATACGGATAATTTAGGATGAAGTCTTATTGACGTGATTTCCTTAATCACCGGTGTAACACTTAACACCGTTTCATTTCTACTATTGATAAGTTCTGGGTTTATTAAGCGTACACTGAAGTTACATACAGTTTTAAATATCAAATAATATGCATCTATAATACAGAATCTTAACCCTTAAACTGTGATTTTATCTTACATAAGTAGTCTAACGATCCTGCTTTTTGTTAAAGTGCGCAGACGCTCGTGGTTCGGACTCATCAATTTGGGAACAAAAACGCTACTAATTGTGCAGGTATCGACCGGCAGCCTTTGAAGGGTTAAACGTACACCAAATATTAGGCCGGATCTTTTCGATCTGGCCGGTTTTAACTTGGAGATATGTGTTTTTTGCGCGTCTCGGAGTAAGCCGTGATCGATTCTCAGTAGCTTACGCGGGATGAGACCCGTACTCGTCGGAATTATATTACGAATTTGCAGGTGCTTTGTTCTTTTGAAGTTTCGAGTGTATACATTAGCTGCTAGTAGTAAAATCAGGATTACAAGTCGATAGTCCAAAGATTTAGTTTTATATTGTAAAACTGATTTATTATTGACCTTAACGATTGATAGTAAAGTTTCGAGATCTAACTCGAATCCCTCAGTGTTGTAATATATAAACCGCACCAGTAGTTACTACACATATCAACTATCTACTGCATTTTTGTGAACAATGCAACTTGTCTTCGTTAGTTATTTTTAGATAGAGCTATTTTAAGAACGGTATAAATATCAAGAAAGGCTAGCCAGCCCACTTAACATTCCATTAGCACGAGTCGTTAATTGCAAT